CGATTCTGAGTCTTCCTATTTCTCCATTATTTTGTTTGTTTTCATCACCAAATGATAACTTTTTTGCTTCCATAGGCACCCATGTCCTTTTGTACTAAGATCTTCTCTTCACACGGTTGCAAACGTTGCCTCTGGAGATGATGTGCAAACCCAGGTATTGGACTCGTGGGCGTGCTTCCTGCTCGATACTGTGCGAGCCTACCGCACCAACATGCTTAGGACCATCGATAGGGTTTTCTTCAAGTACCGTAAACTTTACATTTTCCTAAGTCGTAGAACTTATAGAAGGCAGAAGATCGAAATAGATGTGGTATTGGATCAGAACCGTCGTGCCTTGAGAACGATAGAGGGTCCCCGTTCTTTTCTTTTATTTTGATTATCATTTTGTTCATTTATAATGTGAACCATTTTGTATTTTCTCATAAATAGGCAAACCTTGTTGTTACAGTGTATTATCGATCATCAGGCATTGACATGCCTTTCGAAACTTTTGACATTTAATTCTGTAAATAGAATCAAGTGGGAAGCTTGTCGGGTAATCTCAAAAATCACAGCCGGAAACAAGGAGCAAATACAGGTAACTTTTTGGACCTCAATCTTTCCCCAAATTCATTTGGTCAATGGTACGAATTTTACAGGCTGTGATTGAAGCTAACATCATCGCTCCTCTGGTTCATCTGCTTCAACATGATGAATTTTATATCAAGGAAGAAGCTGCACTGGCTATCGCAAACGCGACACCTCGTGGGACTCATGATCAGATATGGTATGAAAATGGTTTCCTATATATTAATCGCTTGGAATCGTGTCTTGCAGGCTATCAATGACAAATTACCACATTTGGGGTGGTATATTCCACAATACTTTAGGAAGGGTGAAAAGAGTACATTCCATTGAAGCAACCATCAATGGGCCTAAAGGAAGGGTGATTACAAGCAGAAAATAAAATTGAAATATTTAATTAAAAAATCATACTACAAAGCCTTGAAATGCACATCAGGGAAGAACTTTACAAGGAGGAACTGTGGAAGTGGAGTTGAAATCTAAGAAAATAAGAGAGGTGTTATCCTTCGTTCGTAGAGTTCGAGCCTCGTTCAACAAAACATCAGCAATTTTCTCGGCCAAATTTCCCTTATCTGTCGAATATCTCTCCCTTGTCTAACCAGCAAAAGATGAGATTAGATAAAAAACAAGAAAAACTGTAGTATATATTGTGTTACAATTGTACCTGTACAGCTAACTGAATTGCCTTCTTAAAGCTAATAACGTCCCACAATCCATCACTGCACAAATCAAATCCACGTTTCAACTATGTGACAAGCAAAATGTCCATTTTGGGTTAGGATTAGTTTCAGTTCAACTTAATTTGAGTTCGAGTTTTTTCACGTATTTGGAAGATTATACTCCTCGTTTCTATGTCCGAATAAGTCAGACGCAAGTACTTTAGGAAAAATGAAGAGTCCAGGTGAAGTAGATGAGAAAATACCACTGTAACATCAGTAATACATTTTATTATATGAAAATTCCAACTACAGAGAAATAGTCACCTTGCCACTAGTGCAAATGCCCTGCTTGTTTTATTGATACGCACAGCTTGACTTATATAGGGCTCAGAACTAAAGCGAGAATCTTGCTGTTTCACAATTTGTCTCCAAGCATCCTAGCGAGGTTCAAACCTGAAATTAAATGGTCAAATATGCAATGCTGTACCTTAACTGTTTGATGCTGCTGAATCCTGACTGTAAATATTAGACACTTGCATACCACATAACCGTGTTTCCCCATCTTTTAATGGTTCCCCAGTTCCTTCCATTCGGAGTCTTTCAGAATAACTCGATATTTTATGGTCTTCACTCATCTTAATCTGTTTACCGTCCACGCTGTCATAAAATTGTATTTGGTCATAAGTCCAAATACGAAAAGAGAAGCATTCATTATAACAGTGGAATTTGATCATAAAATAACTTAGGAACCTTACAGATCGTACTAATTGGAATAATAAAGAATAGAAACTCATACTTAATAAAAAAGCTGAATCTCCAACATTTGCACATTGTGCAAATAAAAAGTCATCAGCAGCATCAGCCCAAACCAGAAGCAGTGTTGCTGTACAGCCCTGCAAGTAAATAACTATGATGATATGTGAACAATCAACTTCAAATTAAAGCAGAAAAAAATGATCCATACTTGTAAATAAACCATTAAATTTAGTGAAGACAAAAAGGCAATGTAAAGTCAAAGTTGAAGAAAAAGTAATAACTTGCATAATTACATAATTATTCAACACGAGTTGTAGCTTAGAACAAAGTACTACAAAATGGATAAGGATAAATACTTCTTTGTTACAAGCACTCTTCAATCTCCTTAAAGTACCCAGGTCCGACGCTTACATCCGACACATTCGGACATAGGTCTGGGGTATGATCTTTCAAGTAGATGGGAAAACTTTGAAAAATTGAGTATACATGTTTCAGACTGGTGGCCATATCTGAGGCCCCCAAATCCAAGTAACATGGAAGATGTTAAGGTGTATAAAGCATTCCACTGCACTATCAGAGATTTCCCAATGAAACAAAAAAAAATGAAAATGAAATGAAAATGCAAATGCAATGCAAACAGAAGGTATGCAAAGTAAAGAGGAGAAACAGATGAAGGAAAAACCTCATAATAGTTATCCATACGCGCTTCTGTCTGAGAGAATGCTTCTCTAAGAACATATGAGCAGTCATGTTGGGACACAACCCTCTCTCTTTTTACAGAATCTGATATAATGGCAGCCACCATCTCAGGCAGAATCCTAGAGATCAAATGCTTGGAGCATTAGCAAAATAGTTATTTAAAAATCAACAAATCTAAAAGAATGGCAGAACCGCTAGTATTTTGTCCCATCAGAAACCTTGGATCTTAAAATTAATTCTGTATTGCCATATTAACTCTCAGTCTGTAGAAACAGTGGGAAAAGATGCATATTACTAGTCTCAAGCCTTGCAGACTATGATAAATTATAGTGAGCATGATTTAAGATATGTGGAAAAAAGGTTTAGCGGATAAATTAATCAAAATATGAGGTGTAGGAATCAACCCCAAACCATAGCAATGAAACACACTAAAGATGGGATAGGATACTACTTGCTTGCAGATTTGGCCGCCTCAACACCACCATGTCCATCACAGATGCCAAAAACTCCAAACTGCACCGTCAGCAAAAAAAATGAAACCCGCCACTTCTTGGTAGAAGCAGAAAAATATAACTAAAACATCAAAACTTGAAAACCTGATCAATTCCGGGAAGAGGCCATTGATAATAGCAACATCTTCCATAGGAAACTTCTTTCCTCCTCGACGCAATGACATAGGGTCAGAAGTCATACCAACTCCAAAAGGGACCAAGTGATCATTTGGGGATGAAATGAACCTATCATGGAGAGAATTAAAAATGTGATCTGTAAAAATAGCTTCAAATCTAATATGCCATGCATTACAAACTGAAACGATCATATTATACGCATTGACCACATAAAAGAATTATTTAACAAGAAAGATTCCATCAGAAAATTCAAGCAGTTATCAATAATCATGTCAACAATCCCGTTGTCCATAAATGATTTGATCTTATTGATTGGACAGCAATATAGAAAAAAGAGTTAAAACATAAGCAAATGAGAGTTACCAGAGAAATAAAAATTAAACAAATAAAAAAAGCAAAGGTAACGTATTTTTAGAATCTCAGAAGTATATACTGCTTGTGGCATATGACAATTTCTTAGAAGGTACCTTACAGTATGATGATTAATGATCTTGACGTCAGACGATACGAAAGGAAAGAAAGATGCCATTTCTAAAATCATGTTCCCCGATTATGACAATCTTAAATATTGCTAAAAAAGTTACTAGTCTGCAAATACTCCAATATCCCAAAGAAGTGTGAATAAAGAGAAGATCTTGTCCATGCAAAATCCAATACAAATAGATATATTAGAATTTATCTAGAATATTTTGATAATTTTAGAAGAAAAAGTGCCAGAACTACAAGTAAATTGAAAAGAAGTTGACTTACATGAATATTTGAGGTTGTACCAACTGTTATTTTGTCTCCACTTGAAAGTTCCACTGGGTTACCCCATTGCCTACTTCCAGAACCAGGATGATTAATCGGACGAGAATTCAACAGTGTTCCATTCAGACTACCCATGTCCAACAGCTCCCATCTCAATTTCTACAAAGTTTGTAACATTTGAAACACTTAGTGCACCATACATAGATAAAACACCAAATGCAAACTCATGAAATACAACTTAAAAGAAATTTACATTTGAATTCCAATTTATCCTTGCATGCTTTCCGGAAACCTCTAAATCTTTCAACAATAAATTACTTGGAGGAACTCTTCCAAGGATAAATGGTTGCCTTACAGTGCTCGTTGACAGTACAGAACAATGAAGTCCACAAGAAGGACCCGACACAACCTCAAGAGAGAGGCAACTTCCTGCACTTCTAACAGAAAGATATAATTACATGCTTCACAAATTCCATCTGATAGAAAGAAATCGACATATTAATCTCCTTATAGAGAAAGAAAATTACTTTGATCACTGGTGATGTTGGGCCCAGGCTCCTGTGGCCTATCATTTTCTGCACCAAATCTCAAGTTTTGACTTTGTTTTTCTGGACCACCATGTTTTTGTTGTTGAACTAGGTGTTCTGTCCCAAATGGACGCTTTAGTGTCTCACCACCAAAATACCCTGTAAAGGATCAGATACATCTAGAACCACACTATCACCTGCATAGTAAATCATTATCACTTGTCGGTGTCTAAACTGAACAGTTAAAGTGTGAATATAAAATAAAAATAACAAGAGATGGAAGCATAAAAGTTGATACCCAGAGCCGAACAGGAGATGCAAAGGAAAGCCGTTGTCTGTGATTAAGTCCTTGAGTACGACGAGGTGACCGCAGAAGAGCTTCATTCGGTGACACTGTCCGTCTAAATCATAATTTCTTGTCAAATTGTTGCTTTGATCTAGGGCTACATCTACATCATTTGATACAAGAGATCTCTCCAATTCACCAACCTCAAAGAAAAAAAAACGTGTCAAATGTATGAGGACCACAAGAGTTTCAAACAAAACCATAACAATTTCCAGGTTTTCTTTTCTCTTGTTTGGCTCGGGGGTGTTGGACCGAACAAAGAAAAAGGTCAAACTCTTTCATTAGTACTTGTACTATACATAAGTTATAGTTTAGTCTCTGTATTTTAATTTGGTCAATTTAGTACCTATGCTTTTCGAGTTTTGAAATTTCAATCCTGGCCCGAACAGTATAAGGACAATATGACTAAATTAGGGGAACTTAAATGATCAAATTATAGAACGAGAACTAAATCTACAACTTACGTATATTACATAAACTAAACAACAAAATGTGACTTAACAAATGCAATTGCTACTGTTTAGGTCAGGACTCAAATTTCAAAATTTTAAAAGTACAGGATCAATATCCACAATTTCTACAGTGCAGGAACTAATAATATAAAATTGCCTAAGGTAAATAGTAAATATACACAAATGTTATTACAGATTCCACATTTAGATAAACAATCATATAGTTTGTGAGGATCAGTTTGTGTTTGGGACAGTAGGAGAAAGATAAAGGAAGTGAAACAGAGAGAAATCAACTGAAGTGAATTTAATTTCAATATTGTCATTTTAATATATGACAAAAGAAATAAAGAAGACAAGTTAATTATATATATTAGGATTGTTGATAAGAAAAGTGTCAAGACCTTTGTTCATATTTCAGTCCTGGCCCGAACAGGATAAGAAGAAGATTAGTTAATATATGACAAGAGATATGAACAAAGGTCTTGACAATTTATAAAGTGAATTTTTTATAAACAAATAAAAAGAATTTCCATTGAAAACAAAATAAATACACCTTCAACTACAATAATGAATGCATATATTTTATGATAACTCCATAAAGTGCCATTAGGATAGTATATTTATCTTAACAAATATGCATTAAGTAATCAGTAATTGTCAACGAACAGAGAACGGATGTCATGGATCTCGGAGCACATTACCTACCATATTAAATCCACCAAACTACTTGCCATAACTGATATTCATGGTTGAAATATACATTTCGAAACAGCTGGTAAAAAGAGAGTACACATCAAATGTCATATCCAGAACTCAAGAATCAAATTCAAATTTCAAACAGCTGATATAAAACGGATAACATTTTTACGCGTCTATCATCTTTAGATCCGATTGAAAAAAAAAATTAGATCCTCCTCTTACATCAATATAAGATCTACAGCAAGGCAACATGAATAAAAAATACAAAAAATTAATGAAACGCATTTCAGGACATTAGTAATTAACCTCGCCGCATTATTCATTGCAAATCATTCTCGAAATCATTTTTTGATTGTATTAACAAATAAAACCTCAAAAAGAATTCAGATCCACCGAAGCTCAAAGGCGATGATCCGCTATCTAAATTCACAATCATAACGCGGATGAAATAGATTCTGTTAGATCCAAAGAAAACTTCGCCTAATTAAAAAAATAAATGAATGTAAATACATAAATACCTTGACGGTGCGAGAGCGATAAAAAGCGCCATGGTCTGAAGGCGAAGACGAGGATGACGATGATGAGAAGGTTCAACATAAAGAGAATGAGAGTGAAAACGACAATGCTCTGCAGCCTCTCCACCGTCGTTGTGCTCTCTCATCATAGATTTCGGATGCGCTCCTTCTTAGCGAGAACCTCGCTTTGAATTGGTCGCTGCGCACCTCACTGCCTCCAATTTTTTTTCTCTCTTTTCTTCTCTAAATGTATGTATTAGATTTAATTTGTTTTAATTGTTTCCCTTCTCTGTTCAAATAATTAAATTGTTTTACGTGAATATGAAAGGGTAAATTAGAAATTTGGTAACTATATTTTCTCTCTCCTATTTCACTCATTATACTTTAAAGTATTTCAATTTCTTCGCTAAATTTAATACATTGAATTTTTTTGTCACTCGACATTTTTATTATTAATGATGTCATAGATGGGTTTTTATATAGATGAAGAATGAAATAACTTTTGTGAATATTTTTTCCTTTAAATGGCATTGTTTTAACATTGTTAATTATTTAACCGCATATATTAAATTCAGTGAAAAAATTGAAACATTTTAAAGTTTAGTGAGAAAATAGGATACAAAGTAAAGTTTAGTGATTAAATTTGTAGTTTACCGTATAAATGTTAAGAATGTTAACTACAAGCCTTACGGATCGACACGTGTACTTATCTTTGTGGACACGTTTTTGTCCTTATGATGATCGAATTTGGTGGTTTGGTGTATTTCATTGTATGGGTTAAATTCATCACAAGGCCCCAGACTATCTCTTAGATTTTAAATAGTCCCTAAACTTCATAATGTTCTCCTTAATGAATCAATATTATATTAGGGGTGTTCAAATTTTCGAACTAATTCGGTTAAACCGCCGAACCGAATTAATTCGGTTAATTCGGTCGGCCACCGAATTAGTTCGGTCGGTTAACGGTTAATGGTTTTTTAGATATTCGATTAACGGTTAATTCGTTTCGAAATCGGTTAATTAATCGAATTAACCCTTAAATATTTTTTAATTTTTTTCACCCCTGCCCCCCCCTTTATGTTCATCGGTTATCAAATTCAATATTTTCTGCCTTTATTTTCTGCCCCCTACGAGATATGCTTTTGAGGGGTTGGGAAGCTCGGAGCATGGGCAAAAACTCAAAGTGTTGTCTATTGTTTCAAAGTATCAATTTTAAGGTATTTATTTGCACTGGAAGAATTTTCATACTTGTCTTTTGTGTTATAAGTATCATGGAGGAACAAATTTGGTCGAACTGCTGGGAGTCCTTTCATTGCTTTGCTATAGCTATGATTATGATGCTCCGCTCGATGAATACGGTAAGTTCAAAGTATCAATGGTGCATTTTTTCCAAGTTTATTATGGATTTTCTAATTCTTTTGTCTATTTGATTTGAATTGTACATTCTAGGCCTTTTACCATTCATATCGAGTGTGAAAGTATAGTTAGGGATTAGATCCTTGAGGTTGATTTGAACGAGAATCGGTTTATCATGCTGATAAACACTTTAAACTTATGATTTTCAGATCTTATAGCTAGTTTTCATCCCAACGATCATAAATAATGAGTAATTCAGTCAATGATATAAACATCATTGCAGCAAATGTAAGATAAAGAAGAAAAAAATCCAAATCTTCCACAGTTCATCTATTTCTACGGGTATAGCATCTTTAAGAGGCTGCACTAAGAGAAAACCGGAAACAAGACGACTAGTACTAAAACCGGGAATAGCAACTGTAACATGTTTTCTGCAGTATACTACATTTGATCATTGAAAACAATGAAAATTAAGGTAACATACACAAATAATCTCATGACTATATGATATTGTTTAATTAAGTCTCTCAACTATTAAAAATTACAAGATAATCATTTAACTATAAATGTTGTTTTATTGAGTTCCTCGAGTATTAAAATGTAAATGATCACCCGATTCATTATATTCCAAATCATCATTTTCCGTTAAAAAAAAACAATTGTTTAGGCTGAACGTTAAGATGATGACTGTGATATGACAGTCGTTTGAGATTCTAGGATCAAATTTATCATATCACAGTAGGTTAACGTTTAGCTAATACCGTTAATTTTAATAGAAATGACAAGTCTAGAACATAAGGAATAGTCGAGTGACCATTTTGCAACTTTAGTTATTGAAGGATTCAAAAAACACCACATGACATATGATCTTTGTGTAGTATTCCTAAAATGATAATTTGAATGCCATCACATAAAACACCAAAGAAAGTGTACTTATTTGTAACCCTCTGCAATCAATAACGAAAATCGATGATGCTCGTAAAAAACGAAGCACGAAGCGATCACGAATAGCAGGTGATAATTACATCATTTCGGAAACCGACTAGCCGCACTGGTGGTGGTAGTAGCTGTAGCATAGTTTCCTTCAGCTGTGCTGGTTGCCAGAACGACGACGATCCAGTCTCCGTCCGAACCGATCCCGATTCCTGTATACTTGGTTTCGTTGAGATTGTCGGAGTACTGAGACTGCGTAAGTTAGTGAGCACAAGGCTTGGAACTAGGTTTGGGACGCAAGCAGGCATACTGCTCCATCCCTTGTGACTGAGACGTTCAAATGGCATTTGGCTAAAAGGTTGGGTAGTTGGGAAACTGTGGTTCGGTGCCTGGAACAGTGTTGGCACCGGTGGAGTTTGTGCAAGGTTGGTCTTGAATTCATCGGCTAGTTCATCGGCAAGGCACTCGGCGTTCTCGTTTTTCATTAGGTCGTCAAGTTTAATGAAGCACGGTACACGTGATGCCTTTCAGAAGATCCTCCTCCTCATCTGTTGATTGTCAAGAGAATACAGTGATTAGATATGGATTAACAAGTAGATCAAATTTCTGAAAAACTAAACAAAGAAAGGCATTGCATCTCAAAGTCGAACCATTAATCCATAACAAGGCCAGATTGTTCCAGATTCTTGCTTAATAGCCAACCTCACCAGTCATCTTACCGTATCGGAGAACAACGTTTCGTATTGAAACAAGTCATTCAACTTGACATGCATTCCCTCATGAATGTCATTCAGAATACAGGAACCGGTACTGTTTCCCGCAGTCAGAGAGCAACACAAAAGCTTCTAGTTCGAGGAAAGTGTAGCTGACAATCCCAAAACCAGATCTCGGATGTGGCAGCACCTATGTAGCTTGGAACTCTTCATTTTCTTAAAGTATCCGATACATGTATATCAGACACTCACATCTGAGTTCGAGTAACACAGGGCAGCACGGCATACTTTTACAAGATCGAGAGAAAAACAATAGCACAGTCAACCTTCTAAAGACTCACATACGCACCAATTTACCAAATATTCCAAATTGATAACAGTTTGATCAAATAGATCCTAAATGAACCCTCATGTTAGCTCATGTGACCCTAATTCCAATTGCTGATATCAAGCAATATTTGAACACACACACGGAGATTATCATGCGGTAAAATCTATCGATCCTTGACTACACATTGCTACTTTGATTTCAAACAAAAGCAAAGCTATTACGATGTTGCCGATAACTACCTCATGGTTGTTCTAATTAGTTATGCTCGATTTGTCGTCAACCGAAGAAACCAAAACGTGTTCTACCTAAAATTTTCTTAGTATGGGCTGTTTTCTGGATCACTGGATCTTCGAACGAAGCTTCGAATTTCAGAGTTACCTATCAGGCTATTACTCAATCTTCTTCAAGGGACTAAGATAAACCCTTGTGAACTTCCATGAGTTGCCAGACTAACACATCTCCAACGAGCATCAACATCGATCTATTCGATATCAGTTAGATCAAGTTGTCATCTAATTTTATGTTTACCCAATCAAGAACAAGAAACAAGGAATAATGACAAGCAGGATGAATTGCAACCATTCGTGATATTCAGACAACAAAGACCAAAATGCTATAACAGAACATCACTTGAAACACATTTAGGCTCATAATTAGACAAAAACACACACACAAACATACATACATACATACATACATACATACATATATATACATATGAACAAGTAGAAAAAACCCAGATAATACCCACATGAAAAACACATAACAAGTACATAACACAGATTTCAGAGAAACCAACAAGGTAAATGGTAAAAAAAACAGTGCTTGAGCAACAAGCAAGAAACCCAGATCCAAGTTTAAAAAGAAAGGTTTACCAGCTTCACAGAAGAAAGGGGAGCTGATGAAGATGATGGAAAGGAACAATGGGAATAAAAGAGGAATCTTTGAAGACGCCATTGATTGATGCTGGTGAGATATCGAGATGGGAGTTTTGTCCGAAAGAAAGGAGGGTGAGACCAAGAGGGACCGGCACAGATCACAACAGGGTTTTTCAAACCGCACCCATTCAGGTTTTCGTTCTTTTCTTTTGGTACTAAACAAATTTAAATAAATAAATATTGTTTATTTATCTTACCTTAAAAGAGCACATGACAAAGTACTTAATTTATATTTTATTGAATTGTTCAGATCCAATTCTATAGATACTCATTATTTATTCATTACATGAATAATTTTGTAATTCAATTTTTTCAGGGGTAAAGTATACAAATGGTCCCTCAATTTAGTATAATTTTATTAGGTCATTCGGCTATTAAAAGTTACAAAACAGTCATCCGACTATAGAGTGTTGTTTTGTTGAGTCACTCAACTATTAAAAGTTACAGAATGGTCACCCAATTATTTATTATGTTCCAAACCCATCATTTTTCATTAAAAATGTACAGTATTTTGAGCTGAACGTTAATCTGTTGACTGCGATATGATAAAATTTGATACTAAAATCTCAAACGATTATCATATCTCATTCATCATGTTGACATCAAACTTAAACAATCGTCAAATTTTTAACAGAAAATGACAAGTTTAAAACATAATGAACAGTTGAATGATCATTTTGGAACTTTTTATAGTCAAGGGATTTAATAAAACAACATTCTATAGTTAGAGTATAATTATGTAACTTTTATTAAGTCACTCGACTATTAAAAGTTACAAAACAGTCATCCGACT